AAATGCAATCATCAGGCCATGAAATAAATAAGAGAAACAAATAAAATAAATTAATCCAAATAAATAAATAATAATCAAATTAACAAACCACTCTCGCCAAAATAACCGTTAGAATAGACTACCGAAAATGCACCACTGACCCGTAGCCGAGAACAAACACAACATATGTGGCCTGATGATTGCGTTTAGCATGAAACAGTCTGTGGCCTCTGAATGTTGCCATTTCACTGATCATATTATATATATATATATATATATATATATATATATATATATATATCCGAATGTAATGAGAACGAAAATAATATATAAAATCTAACGTTCACAGCATAAATTCAAAAGAGGGCTTAACTCGTGGTTTATCAAATACACCGAAACAAGGTTGTAGTGAATAAATTTTTTTTTGCTTATATGAAAAATATATATATATATATATATATATATATATATATATATATATATATATATATGGATAGTAACTCATTTGCGAGTAGACCCGTCTGCCAGTTCGACTATCAAATCCCTATTATAGACGCTCGCTCAACTACCAACAGAGTCAACCTGTTATTTATAGTGCAGCTATGCTGAGCAGATCTTAGTTAAAATTTCTTCTCTGGTCTTTTGTATTTGCTGATATCAGGGAAGGCAAATAATATCTTCTCTGTCGCGTTAGCCTATATGTGCAGGCAGTATAATACCTAAGAGGCCGCAAAATGAGAACTTTGTTCGCCGTGTGTTTGAATTCTGGCCGAAAAACGTTACATCAACTTTTTCACAAATACCCTTAAGAAAGCTATCAACACATATCTCCTCTCCTTAGCTGTGGGTTAAATATCAGGACAAACTAAACTCTAATTGTGATTTGCAAAAAGTATAAAAGAAGGTTAGTTCTAAATTCAAAACCGTATGAGACCCGGTAGGGGCACGTAATTGAACGTTAACTAAGGTCCACTCAGCCCAGAAGTATAAACCATAATTTGGCTCTTGAGGGTGGGGGGAGATGAAGAAACAAAAAAAAAACGGCTCTGATCTGAAGGGCCTGCACGCAAACAGAAATGATCTAGATCAGAACTACGCTGATTTACAAAGTGCCTTAAAACCGAAGCAGTATACGTCCTGGGTAAGACGATAAACTACATCCGCGTCCAGGGTAAGACGATAAACTACATCCGCGTCCTGGGTAAGACGATAAACTACATCCGTGTCCTGGTTAAGACGATAAGCTACATCCGACAGCAAGGCCTCTGATCAGGAGGATTTGAGGAACGTGGAAGCACCTTTTAATTTCTGGTGTTTCTAAAATAGGTTCACCTTTTGTGATTTGGGGGTGGTAGCACCTGTCAGGGTCCCAGCTATGGACAAATAGTTAACACTCCAAAAGGGGTCAAAACACTATGAAAGTATAAAAATAGGTTTTAAAACCAGCAATACTTTTTTTGAAAAATTATTATCAGCAATACAATATTGAAGAAAAAATTATTACCAGTAATATATTTTTGAAGAAAAATTGCCATCAATACATTTTTGAAAAAAAATTACCATCAATACATTTTTTGAAAAAAATTACCATCAACACATTTTTGTAAAAAATTACCATCAATACATTTTGGGAAAAATAATACCATCAATACATTTTTGAAAATAAAATTACCATCAATACATTTTTGGAAAAAAAATTACCATCAATGCATTTTTGAAAAAAAATTACCATCAATACATTTTTTGTAAAAAAATTACCATCAATACATTTTTGGGAAAAAATGCCATCAATACATTTTTGAAAAAAAATTACCATCAATACATTTCTGTAAAAAAATTACCACCAATACATTTTTGAAAAACATACCATCAATACATTTTTGAAAAAAATTACCATCAATACATTTTTGAAAAAAAATTACCATCAATACATTTTTGGAAAAATATCACCAGCAATAAAAGTGTTGTTGGCATTAAATCTCCCATTGAAGTTGATATACCATAAATAAAAGAAACCAAACCGAAGCAGTATCTTTTCTTCAAGAGTCATTTAACAAATAGTACTGAGTCATGTGACACTAGTAACATAGAACAATCACTCAAGTGACTATATTCTTTCCTAAAAGTCATTGTCTTATTCCGACAAAACTGCTTTTATGGAACATATATTTTATCATAAATTCTAATCGGTTAATATTCCTGTGTGCGCATGCGTGCTGAAGACAAATAAAAAGTAAAAACAACAAAAAGAAACAAATTGTCACGAAGTTCACTCGGTTCCAAAAGTCTTTTTCTTTTTGTTTTCTTCTTTTTTTTGTTCAAGTCTCATGGGGAAAATAGAATCGTTAATCATGTTCCATTCGTTGAGTAAGAAATAAAGAAAGAGGATTTAGAAGGGTACAAAACCTATGAATAATCTTCCATTGCAGCATTGAAGATGCTCGTTACAAGTAATTTATTATAAATATATAAATCTAAGCCAAATAAGGACGAGAGAAAATTTTACTGTTTTACTATTTTAATTTTCTTATGAATGAATAAACACCTTAAGAGTTCTGCGAAATACAAGTAGAAATTCCCTTGTTGTATCGCTAAATATTTGAATTTAACAGACAACATTACAATATTTCATCAGTATGAATATCGTTAATTATTTAAAGATGTAAGCGGGTACAAATGAAAATATTTAAAATTGACAAGTTTTTTTTTTTATTCATTTCATTTGAAATCCATAACGGGAATTATTTCAACTCCTTTGACTTAAAGGGATTAAGATAAACTTTGGAATATTATCTTTTATTTATAAGTGCTGCGATAAATATTGTGTATTTACAATCAGTAAATATGTTTAAATGCAGCCATGAACGCCTCTCTAAACAAACACTGAGACAGGTACACATATTTACACATAAATACGTGTGCTAAGTTAATTAAAAGAATGTTTAAATAAAAGCAAAATCCTTCAAGAAAAACAAACCAAAATGTTTCCAAAGAAATTTCTACATTGTCCTAATTTTTAGGGTGAGAAATTATCATTTATTTTATTTACACTCGAATTATTGTCCTTATCTTTGTTTTTATTATCACGTTTCGTTCAGATTTTTCTCAATACGGGTGACCTTAAAGGAATTAAACTGAACCCTTTATTTAATCCAATAGTGATTTTCTACTATTCTTGCATATTTTGTCAGGGTTCCGATAGCTTAGACAGTTGAATGTGCTGGCATTTTAACCGTAGTGCAAAATATATATATATATATATATATATATATATATATATATTATAAATTAATTGATTTAAAATATGTTTTTCGCTACACAGTTCTAACCATGTTTCAAAAAATGGAAGCTAAAAGCCACGAATTTAATTTTGCGATTAAATTAAAGACATTAGTTCCATTTCATCCTCAAGCGAATTTTTTATATATATATATATATATATATATATATATATATATATATATATATAATTTTCTGTGCATTTCTTTCTTTTTTTTTTCTGTGCATCTATATATATATATATATATATATATATATATATATATATAACTCATAAGTATAGCATCCTTAATATACATAATGGCCAACGTCGGTTGCAGTCTTGTGGTACTGCGTATATTCTGACAGTTATAAAGAACATACCCAACCATAAAATGAAATTGGAGTATATAGTAAGAAATAACAACAAAGATAAAAGTATGGTAGAACAATGCAAACGTGACACTATATGGTTTAACCATACCACAGTAATGTCAAAACCAATGTAGGTAGAATTTTTCTGAATTTAATCCACAAAAACTTTGGTCATTCCCCAACACACAAAAAAGATTTTCATCAAAAATAACATTAAGGTAAGCTATAGCTGTACAAAAAAAATAGATAATTATATATCACAACATAACAATAATGTATTAAGCATGCACACAAACAAAACACTGAATAATAATTCTACTAAAAGTCAATGTAACTGCCGTAAAAACGTAACCTGGGCATTAAATGACCAGTGCATGATTGAAGGCATAATATACAGAGCTAGCATCAACTCAGACGATGCTGCTAAATATTACTTTGGATCCAACGAGAACAGATAGAAATCGCGTTTTTACCACCATAAAATAACACTAAGCAATATCAAATATAAATACTGCACAACACTTTCAAACAATGTTTGGCGATTAAGATAATAATAATTAGCTGGGAGATAATCGCGAAAGCGAAGTCATACAGTGGAAAGGGAGACAGATGTAACTTGTGTTTGTTGGAGAAGCTTATTATATTAAAACAATTAAATAACCCTAACTTGCTGAACACAAGAACAGAATTGATGTCTACATGTATCCATAAGACCAAGCACCTGTTCAAACATATTGACCCTGATTAAAAAGATTACAAAATAGATTTTACAAATATTAACATTAATATAAAACAACTATTAATATTCTTAGAACCTATCATTAATAACACTTCTTATATATCTATACGCATATATAATCCCATATGACCATACTCGATTAATTTATAAAGTGTGTATATATAATTTCAGCTTTGTAAGTATAAGACTTTGTTGATTCCAAACACTTTAGATATATAGTCCCGACCTATTATTATATTTAGACCATGAGTACTAGTTTACTTTGTTATAACTAAATATGGCAACAAAGATGAGGACCACAGTCCGAATAATGTAAATAGTATATATAATACCTCATCTCAGAAATATATACAGATACTGAAGGCTTTTATAAGTTCGCAGTTTTTGTTTATTCGTAAGGTTGTGTGCTATGCTCTAGCTATAAACTGTTAAAATATATAAGAATTATTCAATTACATCATTAGCCAATCGGAAAATAAAGTTTCTGCAATATTTTGATTTTTTACCATTATTGTATATATGGTAAAATCGTATTTTTGGCTTGGGGGGGGGGTGGCTTTTTCAAGAACTAAGACAAATTAATGCCTTTTCATTATTTTTGAACAAATGTTATTCGATTTATGACACAGAAACATACAGTTACAAAATGTTATAAGATAGATAGATAGATAGATAGATAGATAGATAGATAGATATTCTCTCCTGATAGTAAATTAACTGGTTTCTTCCATATTAGATAAATATATCTGTAGTTTATTCATACACAGTTAAGTCTTTCGATTTGTTGTGATTTTATATTTATAAAGATAAATTAACATATATTTCCGTATTTAATTATCGTTGATGTGATAAACGCCAAAATACAGAAACAATAGAGAGATGAAAACAAGTGCTTTATCAATTAGGCACCGTATTAAATTCGCGAATATATCTTTAAAATAATATTTTAAATTCAATTAAGTTTTGGCGTTGCCTTAGAAAGTTTTAATTAAAGCATTTTCTAAATAAACAGTTTCCACTATTTTCATCTGCGATGATTCATTTCTTTTTTTCTACATATGCAGCCAGCTGCATAAATAGACAAGGTAAATATAATGTGAATAAATATACATGTGTCTGCCAACACACACACACACACACAGACACACACAGACACACACACACACACACACACATATATATATATATATATATATATATATATATATATATATATATACATATATGAATTTATATGCACGCACGCACACGTGTGTGTGTGTATGAATATAACAATATATGTTTGCACAAACAAACATATATATATATATATACATACATGTATATATATATATATATATATATATATATATGTAATTACATAATTCGTCTGTGTTTCATAGATTGATAGATGTGAAAAGAATCAGATAGATAGATAGATAGATAGATAGATAGATAGATAGATAGATAGATATGAAGTGACTGAGATAGATAGATAGATAGATAGATAGATAGATAGATAGATAGATAGATAGATCAGGATTTATTTACTAATTCTCTCAGCGCGATATGAAATTTGAATAAAGTATTCAAAATCATCCAAAAGCACTGAAGAAATACACAATCTACAATAACCGATCGGCAAATGTGACACTTTCAATGGTGCGTGGTTTGGTACAAGTTATCGTTTACGGATAATCTGCAGCAAATTAAAAAAACATTAGATATGTTTTTGAGATATTCATGTCAATCAGCACTTTGTATAGATAGAAAAAAATGATAGATAGATAGATAGATAGATAGATAGATAGATAGATAGATAGATAGATAGATAGATAGATAGATATGTACAGAAAAAGAAAGAAAGAAATGGACAGAAAAGTTTAGATAGATAAATAGATAGATAGATATGCACAAAAGAGGAAAGAAAGAAAAAAGAAAGAAAGAAATGCACAAAAAAGGATAGATAGATACATAGATAGATATGCACAGAAAAAGAAAGAAAGAAAGAAAGAAATGTACAGAAAAGTTTAGATAGATAGATAGATAGATAGATAGATAGATAGATAGATATGCACAGAAGAGGAAAAAAAGAAAAAAGAAAGAAATGCACAGAAAAGGATAGATAGATAGATAGATAGATAGATAGATAGATAGATAGATAGATAGATAGATGTGGACAGGCTGAGATAGATAGACAGATAGAAAGAAAGAAAAAAGAAAGAAAGAAAGAAAGAAAGAAAGAAATTCATTGAAAAGTTTAGATAGATTTATATGAACAGAAAAGCATAAATAGATATGAACAATAGAGAAAAATGTGTTTTAAATCTCAGCCTTTTGAACGACAGTATGTCGTGGTTATGTGAAATATTCGTGGGTCGTTCTGGTTTCGTCCATAAGCCCAGTAATTTTCGGATATTTTATTTTTTGTGTGTGTTCAGGACTCCCTTTCAGACTCTAATGGTTATTCTGCCACATTTACCAAACAAGAAATTCCTTCACATGTTAAAAGATCATTTACTTGAGAAGCTCATCTATGTTGTTGTTTTCACAATGTTTCAGACGTTGTAATCTTCAGCCTTCATGAAACAGTCAATCTGGTTAACTTACAGGGAATTCAGCTCCTGTAGCCGCTGGAACAGAAAGCGAAAGCTTAGGTGAATCCAGTTATGCATATCATCCAGTAATAGTACCCATCAGCAGGCAGGTTAGGTTGAAGACTCTCCACATTGTCCCACGTAAAATTAACCGATTGGATTTGATCGTTCATTCGTGAATTTGGTGACATAGTAATTTTGAGTTCAATCCCTGGGTTAGGCAGTGTGTACTTGAATTCGGTGGAGACAGGCGGGCAATAATTGAGCAGTATAAAATACCAATTAAGCATGCGCAGTGGAAAGAGAACAGCCTATACCTGTTTATTAAATAAACGGTTCAGTTCGTAATTCCCTGATCGAAATGCACCTAATGAAGACCGGTCTGAATAGGGTAAATAATCTCCTCATTTCAGATATTCAGACACAATTTAAAAAGATTATTATACACGGCCATGGAATAGATAATATTTACACAACTTGATATTGAACATAATGCTCTTAACAATAAATGCATTAGTAGAAAATCTGTAAGTTTGATAACTTATTAGTTTCATCTTAATTCGTATAAGCCAGGTCTACATTCATAATAATACATATATTATATAGATATATATATATATATATATATATATATATATATATATATATATATATATATATATATATATATACCTCCATATTCATATTAATATATATATATAAGTCTAAATTGATATTAATATATATATTATCTAAGTATATATTATTATTATATATATATATATATATATATATATATATATATATATATATATATATATATATATATATTATCTAAGTATATATTCATATTAATATACAGGGTACAACTAAATATTTGACATCATTTCGCAAAGCAATAATTTTGGCAATTCTTGTTTAAATAAGTTCAAATTTTCACAGAATGTATAGAAACACATCAAGATTTTATATTTAATGTTTTATTTTTATATCAAAGAGAATCTGCCAGAGAGATGGATCGAGCGTGGTGGAGATGAAGACAGTTTTCTGATGAAATGGCCGCCGCGGTCACAGGACATGTCCCCGTGTCATTTCTTTTTATATGGATATGTGAAAGAACTGGTCTATGTCCCCTTTCTCCTTGCTAGCATTGATTAACTCAAGCAGAGAATCACTTCCGCACTGGATAATGTTACCGGAGGCATGCTACAACGTGTTTGGCAAGAGCTTAACTACCAACTTGATATGTGACATGTCACAGGCGGTGCAAATATTGAAAACTTATGAAATCGGCCCCATAATAAACTTATGATGTTCAACACCTAAACTGTTCAATTTCATTCAGCTAGACTTCGTAGTTTTCAAGATAATTGCTTTTAAAATGATGTCAAATTTTTGGGACTCCCTGTATATATTATCTAAATATGTTATGTGTTTCTACACACTTTCCAAGCACTGTTATAAATAACAAAACTGAACGAGAACGCTATAACTTAGCGTGTATGAAAGACAGTGATCAATGTCAATTCCTGCCAAGCGGCTTCACTCTCCGTTAACACAACACCAGTCCCGATACTTTTTGAACAGAACTCGTGTATATGATCAATATCAGTGATCAGTATCAAATACAAAGCTTCTTTAAATGTAAAAGCGGGCACTGATGTCAACATATATATCGTTTGTAGGAAGCGTTCTAGTCAGGATTTCAAGTGCTAATTTTCAAGAGTAGAAAAAAAAGGTAGAAAAAATATAAGCAGATGGCAGATATATCTTTATCAATAATTCTATTCTACCTGTTCATCTTCAAAGAACAGACAGACTTTTAAGCGATAGTTTTAAGGAAGTCAAGTCTTTATTACTTCCTTTCACCTGTCTTTCATTTTTCAGATGTTTCCAGATATACACTATGCATTACTTGGTGAATAAGAAAAGTCCACGTTTACAAATACGAATCATTCAACAAGTAAATTTTCTTTGATATTTTAAGTATTTTACTCATGCATCGATTTAATATCCAAGTTATTAAAAATTAATTACACAATTTTGGCTTCGGTTTTTCTTTTCTTAAAAAAAATGTACGTTTGTATGTTGATAAATAATTTTGATTAAATGAGTCAAGTTTCATCTTTCGAAAATTCTTAAAACAAAATTGTTGATTTTATGCATTTTAATTAGGTATTTTTTTTTTTACCGTATTTTTTTTAAGGACATCAATTTAGTCAGTGAACAGAACAGGTGCTCATCTATATTTATTAACTTTCTGTAAAGAGAAATATTAATTAGTAATGGTAATAATAAATTACATGCGAACCAATTTTATGAAAACAAAGACGCAACCAAATATACTAATGTAGAAATGTACTATGTAGAAGTATACTAATCTTGAAGGAAGGTTTTCAAAAAACGAAAAAAGCAACTTCAACAAGGATGATTACAAAAAATTAGACCTCACAGTAGAATTGAAACAAGTGCCAAACATGCAGATTACACTTGAAACCATGTCTTCGAAGAGTCTAACAGAGAGATTGGAAAAGTATGAACAAGAATCGAAACTTCTCAAATGACAGCATTTATATAATGGGCAATACTGTAGAGAGTTCTAGAATATTTAAGACACTTGCTATCATTTCATCGCTGATAAAAACAGTTTTTACTGAGGCAAAATAATAATAATAATAATAATAATAATAATAATAATAATAGAATTACAGAAACACCCTTAATAGATTTAGATTTTGTCACAAAGATTAGGGAACTGGAGCATGATGAAGCTTATAAGTACTTAGGAATTAGCGAAGGAGATGACATACAACACCCCCAAATGAAGGAAAAAATAAGAAAAGAGTACTACAGGCGTGTACGTCTGGTAATAAAAACTGAGCTAAACTCAAAAAACAGAATATCAGCCATAAACACATTGGCTGTTCCTGTGGTGAAGTACAGCGTTAATGTCCTTAACTGGACCATAGCTGAAATTAAGCGAATGGACGCCAAAACGAGAAAGCTACTCACTTGTTATCGCATGCATCATCCCAAAGCTGATGTTGATCGTCTGTATGTGCCCAGATCTGAAGGAGGCAGAAGATTAGTTCAACTAGAACTGTCCAAAATCCGTACCCATCAGTGGCTACGTAGTGCAGGGTTGAAAGCGGAAACTGAAGGTTTTATCCTTGCTGCAGGGACCAATGCTTGCTAACTAGGAATTATCAAGCACATATACTAAAAATATTGTGTCAGCCCAAAATGCAGATTCTGTGATAAATATCCAGAAACGATTGATCATCTTGTATCAGGTTGCACGATGTTGGCACCCACTGAATATAAAACCCGACATGACAGAGTGGGCCAATATCTGCACTGGAAAATCTGCAACTTCTACGGAAGGAAACTGAAAGAAACTGGTATGAACACCACCCAGACCCGGTTACGGAGATAGGACCTGTTACAATTCTATGGAACTACACAATACACACTGACAGAACAATCAAGGCCAACCCCCCAGATATTGTTATTACAGACCACAAACAAAAACGGTCCCTCCTTATTGATATGGCAGTCCCTGCTGACTGCAATGTATCTTTGAAGATATTCACAAAACTGTCCAAATACAAGGACCTTGAAATAGAAATCTCTAAAATGTGGCATATGGGAACATCAACAATCCCTGTTGTAGTTGGAGCCCTAGGACTGGTTGGAAAAGATTGCAGTAGACTAATTGAAGGGATTCCTGGAAGTAAATGCCTCAAGGAGATACAAAAAATTGTTCTGACAAGTACAGCCCACACTTTACGAAGGGCTTTATCTATGTAATTTTTTTTTTTTTTTTTTTTTTTTGTCAGTGGAAAGTGTCATGCTGCCATTTCTAACCTTAGGTCCTGGGCGGACCCGGAAAGAAAATGTAAACGCCAGAAATCAAAGAAAATAAAAATAATAATCTCTCAGACATCGTGTTCAAGTACCACAACATTAGAATATGCTTCGATATTGATATTATTGATCCTCAAAAACACTATCAAAATACAAGAATTTTGAAGTAGAAATCTAAATAAAAAATGTGGTACATGAGGACATGAATAATTCTAGTTTTAGTTGAAGCCCTCAGATTGAGTGGAAATGGTTCTGATAGACGCATTGAAGAGATTCTTTGTAGCTATTTCTTGTAATTAGATTATAAACATTAGTTCCATTTCATGGAACTAATGTTTTTAGTTTAATTCAAAATTAAATTTGAAGTTTTTAGCTTACATTTTTGAAACATAGTTATTACTGTGTAGCGAAAAAACATATTTTAAACCAGTTAATATATATATATGTGTGTGTGTGTGTGTGTGTGTGTGTGTGTGTGTGTGTGCGTTCGCGTTCGTTCGTGCGTGCGTGGGTGTGTGTATGTATACAATAGATTATATTTTTAAAAGGCAATTTTATAAACGTGACACCGCTAGCTAGAAAGTGTAAAATGGAAAAATGACAGTTATTAATGAAAAGGAAGAAAATGTCATCCTGCTGCGTCGACCAAAATTTGCGATTCCAAGAGCGAAACGATGCTTAGGTTTAAAAGTCTGCTACTGATAGTGTTTCCCGTAATAATCAGAATGGACACTGCCAGCGGACCATTACAAATGGCGGTTCACTTCAATCTTAATCTTAGTTCACATGCTAAATGAATCAAACAGCAAATGAAAAGAAATAAACAACAACGACAACAAAAAAGAACAACAACAACGACAATAATAATAATAATAATAATAATAATAATAATAATAACTATAATAATAATAATAACTATAATAATAATAATAATAATAACTATTGGCTTACTAACTTACATGGAAACAACAAATGACTGGATGATAAAATTAGTGAAACAACATGAAAACAGAAAGAAAAAATATTCAATAATAAAAGAAGGCAGTAAATACAAACAACATTTACATTTAGTAGATTCTGTAGTAAATCAAAACAGAAGCCAAGAACCAACTATTGCAGCAAAAGATAAAAAAAGAAAGCCAAGGATAAAGCCCTTGAACAGATGAAACAACGCTGGCAAGACAAGAAACCTCTGCATGGCCAATATCCAGAACGTGCAAATAAACCCAATGTTGATAAAGTTAATACTCATCGATGGTTACGAGCATCTGATTAAAGTCTGAAACTGAAGGTTTTATTCTTGCAGCGCAAGACCAGAGTCTTTTCACTAGGAATTTTCAGGCAAATATCATACATAATAATGTGGATCCAAAATGCAGGTTCTGTGACAAATACCAAGAAACAATAGACCATCTAATCTCAGGATGTTCTATACTTGCCCCAAATGAATATAAAAATCGTCACGATAGAGTGGGGCAATACTTACACTGGACAATGTGCAAACACTTTGGGAAAATGTGTAAGCAAACACTGGTATGAACATCGGCCAGCGCCGGTTACAGAAATAGAAGATGTCACCATTCTATGGGATTATACCATCCACACAGACAGAAAAATTGAAGCAAATAGGGCCGGACATTATTGTCAAAAAAACCAGAAAGAAAAAACTTGCCTACTAATTGATATGGCTTGTCCAGCGGATTGTAACATAGCAACCAAGGAATTTG